ATACCCTGCTAGATGGTTGTCAGGTCAAATACATAGGTCAAAGTAGTAGAACAGGGGCCGTCAGACTAGAGGAGCATAAAAACCTAGCAAAATCGAGATTAGTTGACCCGAATAAGATAAAAAATCTGGAGAATAGTTTAGCCGTCGATAGCACTACATGTAATTACACACAACCATACAATAGGATGGGATAAGATAACAGTTTTAAAATCTAATGTAACAGGGTGAAGGGAGAGATTGATAACAGAAGCTTTGTTTACCGAATCAACTGCAAACATGTGTAATAGGAATGATTCAACACCTGTCCCAGATATCTGGAAAATTCTACTACCCCTACAACGAATAAGAGGGAATGAAGACAACTATAAAACTCAAGTTTTGAAGTTGTATGCTTATAATTGGTATGATTATGAACAATAAGTTGTGTTCGAAACGTCGTCTAGTAAATAATACTGCTTAACTGTGTGATATATCTAATAATCAAATCAATATGGAATTGAAAAGGGCCTCTTCGCTGAATCACTTATTTCGATTCCCAATGGGAATTCTCTCTGAAAGTGCATCAGAACATTAGTTTCATAGTGGAATACGAACCCCAAGATCAGTTTCCTTTCTCTGATATATCCATGAGACAAGATAATTGATACATGAGAGAACACAATGAAAATATACCTGAACTGGACAGTGTTTAAACTACTCTTGTTTCTGTTCAACAAAGGTAAAAAGGCATTGGCCAAGTCGGTTTAGACAGAAAAGAGTGGAAACTTTTCTATGGTGACAAATTGCATACAGAATCGGACTTACTTGAAAGCAACTTTCTGAAAATGGACATACAAATGCCATTATCAGCAAGCTAAGGAATCCAACTTTACTTCGGTCTGCTGAATCTATTGCTATCAAGTAACTTCAACCTAACTTGTGTATAGAAACATGAATTATGATTAATCTGTTTATCCTGATAGCAGATTTTCCACACATAATATAATTATACATATTTTCTATTATCACTTCTTGAGCCATTGATCTTAACTCAATTAGTTGATTTCTAATCACTTCTAAACACTCCCTTGTATATTATTACGCAACCCCAATGTCATATCAATCCTTCATAAATTTACTCTATGATGAAATTATACTCTACCACAGTGCTCAAGTTCTATTCTTAAACCGAAAACTTAGTCACACGATTTTCCTACTTACATTGTCAATCAATCATGTCTAAGATACAATTTCCTAATAGGTTTCACGATATACTTCTGATCACTTTCATTTGAATTCATGGATTTATTTGCTTATCGACACAATAATTATCCAACTGGGAGCAAAAAATTTAGTGGGTCCCTCTTATCAAATACACGAACACATCTAACAGCCCGAAATTAGCTCGCAACCAGCAGCTAAAATACTTTGATTGTAAATTAAATTGGAATCAAAGAAGTAGTGTCATTTGAGCACTCTTCTTTCGGACGATTAGTAACGTGTTCGATTCTCAGAACCATTTGAAACTTTCTGTGGAAATAAAGACACACATTGGTAATTAGTCTAGGCCAGAAATACGTCTAATAAATCCACCCAATTAGGTAGGTGCTTTTAAATCATACAGTCCATATCACCCATGTTTAAATTCATTCTATGCAGTCACACTTTATGTTATCACATACGGTGCTGATTTCAAAGTATAATCCCGAGGAATATATATTTATTTACCACAAGTAGGCCTATAAAACCAGCCCATTTGGGCAGTGAAAAACCGAATACTTCCAAGCAAAAGTACTACAAGTCGATGAAACAAATTTTGATTTTCGGGAATTGGAAAAAATATGCCGACATAACAAATCAAGCCTATCCCAATCAATATTCACTACTTTAACTCATGATTCATCGCTTAGTGTGTAGCACAAACTGTTGCCGACTGCTCACCAACAACCAAACAATTAGAATTTAGTTTTCGCAAAACATATATTAGTTCTATGATGGTCATCCCGTTTGCAATGAAATAACAATAACTGAACTTTTGTATGGTAAAAATGTCAATAAAAAATAGTCGAATTAAGGTGGTTTGCATCATTACATGTGAATGGAACTAGATTTCTGTCCGATTACTTTAATCCTAGAATAGGCATTTTGTGTAAAGCTAATTAATTTCTGTTGTTTCGTCACAGAATTAAGGTCTAACTGCTATGATCAAATGTATCACTTTTCTTTATTCCTTCACGTCCCTAGTAGAACATAGGGCTCCAAACTAGAGGCTTAAAGTTTCTGTAGCAGTGTTTATTTTTACGGGATCCGGTTGGTAGCCTCATGCCCAAGCTTTCCTCTTTACGAGCTTCACTTCTGGTTTCGCGAGATAAAGGAGTGCGTCGTCGACGAGCGTCCACCGACGCAAAAGGTATCACTATGCACAACTTAAATGCAGATCTCATCACTTGGACTCAAATTATGTGATATAATGAAGTGTCAATAATTCATCACTTCCTTACTGATCAAATCTGACTCATTCCGAATATATATATATATATATATATATATATATATATATACAAAGGAATAATGATTCACAATCACCATGTAGCTATCCAAACCTAGACTGCTGATCGGAAATGCGCAGGCTTCCGAGTAACAGCTTCTGATCACAATAATATGGATTTTCCTACTGTTATGACGCAGCATATGCTGACCACATAACGTTTCTTTTGTAGTTAGATTCCAGCCACTTGTTAGATCCACAAACAAACTTCACGGTCATTTACAGATTACGGTGAAGTGTCAATCTTTTGGTCACACTAAGTTATTCATTTTACTTAAATAGTTTTAACAATATTGCAGAGGGCTTATTATCATTAGCGCATAGTGTATTCTCAGATCACATCATATCCCTCATACAATGTGGCTCACTCTGTCCAGGTGAATAAGTTCTATCTCATCATGTGTTGAAAATATCTGACTACCACCTCTTGCATTACAACATCCCAAAAACAAAAATGTCGAATATTTTGAGACTTCGTTGGCTGGAGACGCACTAATCTCATTATGCTTATTATCGTAGACGAAACGGTGGACATACGTAGCCAATCACCTCATTATAAAGAGACATTGATATCTACCGAACTTGCTTTAACAACATACATCTTGAAGTTAAAACAAGCATCCTAAACTGCTTTAAGGGAAATGCGGTCAGAGTAACTGAACCGATTACTTCTCACTAACGTGAAGTCTCTTCGTACATCGAAATGCGTAACAGGCATTTCCTATTGACCTTCTGCACAACGTACATTAATTCAAGCTTTGTACACGAAAAGTGAGCATGATAGTCATACAGCAGAATCGCTTGTGCATACAGACACTGACTACGCGTTTGTAATGTCATTTTGCTAGTATATGACTTGAGTATCAGAAAACCGCAGTAGAATTTAACTAGCAAACTGTCCATTTAATAACCAAACCTAATAATAAGAGATTAAAATATAGCTGTCCAGATACCAATATACAAGTTCGAAGTGTATTATTTCAGAGCTAACAGTTTTCGTTCCTGATCTGCAATTACCTTCATTATTAAAACACATTTTAGAGAAGGCAGTTAGCGTCCAGACAACACTACATTATGCTAAAGCCATATAGGACTTCTACGGTGGTTAAGAGAAGTATGCCTAGATGTATGCTGCAAAAAGTTTCCTTCACAATGAAACAGATTGTAAGTAGCCAACGTCTCATCCACAGGTTTATTCCTATAAACACAGCAAACATATTCAGTGGGAGAATATCAATGAAGAGTCATTTCAAGTTGCCACCGCAATTGAACTATTTTAAGAAAATGTTGCTTTAAGCAACTAGGAATATTTCACCTGCAACAAAATCTTATTCCCAAGTAGATTGTTATGAATGCAGCACTACCAATAGAACTATGCAAATTCAATAGCCCTAAAAAAACTGCTAGTTCGCGACTGTGATAACCCACACAATCCGCTATTGTCTTCACATTTGCCTGGAGGGAGTTAAGGTTACATCGTGACAATATACAACTAAACTGAAGCGAGTAAATCGATACTGTGGTGCATGTAGTTTGATAGAACCGAATTGGATTTCGAGTACTGTCTGATGAAAACTAAGAGGTAAAAACAGAGGGGATTTTAAGTCTCGGTTCACAGGTAAACTCAAGGGTACCAGTCACGTGGTGAAACCTGCACGAAGAGACGTCTAGGAAGTCTTACAGGTCGTACTCCATGGGGGACAACCGCCAGATGTTAGGGGACAAAAGGACTTAGGAATTATTGTAAGCCATGACTTAGAAACAACGGCGAATTGTAATCGAGCCGCAGCTAAGGCTTTTCGAATCCTATGGGCACTTCGAAGGGCTTTCAAACAATTAGACGAGGGTATGTTCCAAGTAGTGTATGCAACATATGTCAAAAATCATCTAGAGTACTGCATACATATCCTGTAAAGAGTACAGAGGGTAGGAACGAAATTAGTGGTATCTCACACGTTCCTTTTGATATGAGGATGGAGTATTTAAATCTCTTCCCATTATCATACCGAAGGAGGAGAGGCGACTTAATTTTGACTTACCGTATTTTCAAAGGTGATTGACCTATCAAGCCTTCTCTCACAAAGTGGTCAACGACTGGAACTCCTTACCTGATTCAGTAGTAACAGCTCCATCGGTGAACGCTTTCAAAGAGAAAATGGATCTCTGCAGAGATATATATCGCGAGAATTAACATAGGCAACAGGAGCCTGCTATCCTGGAAGGAAGTATATGTATGTTCCTTTCACGGCTATCAGACTTACTGATAGAATGGGTTGACGAACGGCACAAAGCATCAATGAAAATGATACAGGATATATACAACACTCAAAAACAATGCAAACAACGAGGCGTAAACATATACCCACTTAAATCGCTTTCCCTTGATAACTTTAACAAATAACAAATGTAATACAAAAATCGGATTTTATTTCATGACACAATGTGTAGTCAGCAAGTAGTATACAAACTGGAGTTATATTCTTTCAACAGCGTTGCAGTAGACTGGAGTGCTCGCAGTGCTTAGTGTGCGAAGACTGCTTTAGAAATAATATAATGCTTTAATATGCCACAGACTTCGCTTTCGCTTTACTAATCATAACAGACTCGGCAACGCCGTCGAGATCCACAGCGTGCACATCTCCCTTTAATCCCTCAAACCTTTTCTTAAGTGCCTCTTTTGATGACGCATATAACATCTTCAGTTTGACAGGAAGAGAATCACAAACCCATGAAACAAATATCAGGTTTGATCCTTTAATTCCTTCACACTCATAGTCAATAACAGCATAGCAGCCTGTATCCTTGCGAGATGTGAGTTCATCCTTAAATTCACTATATGTAGCATCTGTGTAAGCAAACAACTATATAACAAAAGGGAGAATTACTTCTTGGAGCAGCCTTAGACGCAATGATTTCTTTGCCGTCCTGGATAGTGAATATGATATAACGATACAAATTGTCCATTTTCAAGCTCCTGTAGAGACGCTCACATTCTGCAGTGGGTTTTATGCCTGATGACTAGGAGAAAATCAGAAACGCTCACGACACTTACCATGTTCGCGGAGTCGGAGTGAAACTAAATTGCCGCTTCCTTGAACCAAATTCAAACATGTGCGCCAAACTCATCATGGTAATATTGAATTTGTTAAATTGGTTAAGATTCCACTTTATTTTTGCTGCCTACATCAACTCCCAGATTTTCACTCTCAAAGACGCTGTGGAAAAGGATTTCCAATGGCTTAGCGCCGGCTGGCGAAAAGCTACTGAGTCTCAGTAGGTGAAGCACATGAAATTATGAGTTAGATAGAATTTTTTAACAGTTATTTTAGTGTATTTATGCAACTTGGTGGCATTCTATAGAGTGCTGTACTTACTCTCCTTGGGCCTGAAATACGAAGTCAACGCATTGTTAGGACGACAAAAGTAAGATGAAATTTTATGGCAAGTAATTTCACACCTTGATTTGCATTTGACAGTTAGTGTTCAATCCTACTGTACCTGGTGGAACGCTCACAATGAAAGCGTCTGAGCAAGAAATAACGCCACTCGGTATGTTTTCATGTTCAGTTTGGTTTTTGGTTCACGTTATCTAGTTATCGACTGAACCATTTCAGTTGGGTAACATCGATTATATATATATATTTCCTTTTATGGTTCAATGAACTACCACTCCTATTTCATTTTCCCAGCCGTCGCTTTTCCAACGCAATATAAATACAACTGTTTTTGAACATATTACATTAAATGCATTTTTGAATCATTCATTACACTCAAAACTGGTGAACCCCGCGCAATTTAGTTGAAAATCTCGGTTATTTTGAAAACGTCATGCCTCATGCTGCTGACATTTGATTGTTAGTTTTCGGCAGTGGTCAGTATTAGCGAACGGTTTCAACATTCACACGTTGACAAACAGTGTTTCTCTCCCTTCTTTGGCACTATGCAGATCACCAAAGTAATTTTGTGTGGTCGTCTGATATGAAGGACAAGTACATAAACAAATTCCCATTTAACCACCTTAGGTACGTGTAGCATTATTTGCTGGAATTTAAGGTCCTTTATATAGTCTTATAAGCAATGTATGGTAGATAATTTGTTTGGAATTTCAGTCTAATCCTAAAGAAGCCTAGACTTTTGTAGTTACTTTTGCATTATCATCCATTAATTATTGTCTATAGGTATCCACGTTAGAATTAATGAAAATCTATTGGATGGACTTGCACAAAGCAAAGTCGAGATAAACATAGCTGCAGGTGTTGCGACCGCCTATTTCAGTGGATACCTGAAGATTAAAGGAGCCTCGCCTAGTTTTCAAGTTCTCTAATTTTCTAGGCGGTAATAGGCAACATTTGGGAGTGTGGTTAGCGATCTTGGACCAGAAAATCAATCTAGTAGCTACGGAAACTTCAAAGCACGACAAACTTATTTTTCGCCGGGATTGGATGAAAGGGATGATAGGGGTTGGTGAAAGCCTCCAGGAAGTCACTCATACAGTGTGTCCTCTCCTGATGAAAGCAAATGTATGGTGACGCATAGTGTTCGCACAATTCGCAAAGCTGTAAAAGTCGACTAGGCTAACGAAGAAACGAGAAGATATATCTTATAAGTGCTAGAAATATGCGAATGCAGGCAGAATGGTAGTGGAATCTCCAATCTTTCGACTGGAGAGTCAGTATTCTACTTTGGTCACCTAGACGACAACCACAATTACACTAAGGCAGTGGTTATCTTGATGAAACCAAGAGTATCCAGAGGTCTTATGCGATGAGAACCAATCTTCTCCATGATAGTTACAGCAGGACTCGGATCAAAAGGTAGGGGCGTTACAATTATCAAGCACAACGCTCCCACCAACAACTCAAGTCAAAGGAAGAAAGGAACACTTCAGTAGTCAAACACAATCAGTATTAGTAAATTTCTTAGCCAAGGGCTAATACCGAGATCCAGCTGGGTGATATGAATCCCAAACCAGTAGCCAACAACATATGAGGATAACTCACTATAAACCGATGGGTTCTCGGTCGCATGAATGAGAACGATGAACTCTAAACGATGAATTCCGTGCGTTAAGTAGTTTGGTGATTACAGACAGAGGGAACAAGCACACTGGCATACGTTAGGAGATATGGAGTTCACTTGATAGACGCTGATAATTAGATGGATTTCAAGAAAATCTCAAGAAAGATAGAATACATCCTGCTTGGCAAGGTGTAGTCTCAGAAAACTAACTGGTGCAGGGGAAATCTAGAGCCAAGTTGTAAGCCTTTAAGACAAATGGACATACACCACAATTCAAGCACGTCACTCAAAACCCAAAAACTGAATTACGAAACAACGGAGGACATGTCGACTTCAGCGATCTCAGCAAAGTTGGAGACACTACGTGGGATAACCTGGACGCGTGAATGGGATCATCTGAAACTGGAGTTTAAGGAAAAGTGTACAGACGATTTACAAAACAAAAACGGGCTAGAAAAAGAAGAAAAATCTATGAGTGTATCGAAGCGGTATGAAGAACATGAATCAGTACGGAGATGGAACAGAGTAGAGGTGGGGATCAATATACAACTCGCTAAATAAAGAAATCAAGAAAAGTGCTAGGAAAGACAAAAGACAATTCTACGGCACACTAGGAGTAACTGGAGCACAACAGGTGGACTGCAGGTAAATGAGACCTGTGCGTCGGTGGAACAGTGGTTAGGACTCTCGCGGACCATGCACATGGTCCTGGGTTCGATCCCCTGCCGACGCACACCCGATATCTATGGTCGGCCTGCGAAATTTGGGCTACCAATATCCATGCTGAAAATGCCATACTTGTGCTCAAAATACCGTGTGGCATCAGGCTGTAACCAAAATAATAAATAATAATTAATATTATATCAGATAACGAGGACCGCAAATGAATGCGAATATCGAACGTTGGTTCATTAGCCTTGGTCGCCATTGGAGGGCAACTCGAAGGCGCGAATGATTCAATCGTGTACAAGTTAGAAGAAGTCGAAAGAATACGAATAAAAGTACAATACATTCCTTGTAAAACATTTGTTTATAGACTTCGTACGAAATATTGACTTTAATTGCCGAACAATACAATTTCTTATTGGTTCGTGTGTTTTGGAGTTAAAGTCGATAATCGTACCTAGAATAATTGTCGATTCGAAGCGTCTTCGTAAATAATACGAACATAGAGTTATGTTCCTTGACAAGGTCCCTATCCGAGGAAAAATCAATGCATATTAATTCCATGGAAGATGGTCAAGGCAACATGATTATAAAAGAAGAGAGACACATAAAAATGTGCGGATCCTTTCAAAGGACTCTTGAATCGACCATGTTCACCTGCAGTTCGGCCAGAAATATCACCACCAACAACAGCACACACAAAACTGTCTGCTAATGCACACCGATTCTCCAACAAAAGCAAAAGTCTTGAATGCAATCAAGCACCTGACAGCGGGCAGGGAAGGCAGCATGACCTGATGGAATTCCTCCGGGTGCACTGGGAACGGATCTAGAGACCACGGTGGATATGCTCATGCCACTATTGCAAAGGTTTGGAGGGAAGAGAAGGCATCTACTAGTTGGGAGCAGGGTTACCAAAGAATACCGATTGGAGCCCCTGAAAGGACTTGCGCGGAAACATGCTCTTGTCCATGCCGAGTAAGCCATCAAGTCGCGTCCTCCTGGAGAGAGTGAAAAGTGCGCTCGATCCAGAACTCCTACAGGAACAGGCTGAATTCAAGAAAGGCAAATCATGTGCTGAACAAATTGCAACTCTATGCATCACCATCGAATGTAGTGCAGAATGGCAGTCAAATTTCCACCTCAAACTCCTCGGCTCCGAAAATACCTTCGACAGCGTCGATCATGAAGTTATTTGGGAGCTACGCCGACACTATGGAGTGCCAAGACATCTTTATCAAGCTCATTCAATAGCTACATGACAATTCCACATGCCAAGTGATTCACAACGGAAATCCCAGAGAAGTCTTTGAAGTGAGTATAGCAGTAAGACAAGGCTGCCTACTATCAGCGATGATGTTCCCAATTGTGGTGGACAGGAATAGGCTTCGAACTGAGTGGAGTGAGGAGACAGGAGTGCGTTGGACCGATGAGAAGACTCTAGAAGACCTGGACTTCGCTATCGATTTACATCAAATGTCACACAAATTCGAGGACCTGCAGGCAAAAACCAACAATTCACAGATGAGTTAGGCAGCAAGGACAGGAGTTCAAGTAGACACAGGAGAAAACGGAGGTGATGAAGATTCTCAAGCACTAACAATAACAGCCATCACTGAGCACCAATAACCACCAACGGAATGAATTTGAAAGAGTTCACTTCCTTCACTTATAAAGAAAGCATAGTTTCAACTACAGGTGGAATGGATGAATATGTCCAGACCAGGGTTGGAAAGACAAGGCACACCTCCAACACTCTGAAATCAGTTTGGCAATCTGCCGCACTCAGCATAAAGAACAAAATTCGGATTTACAGCACCAATGTCAAGCCAGTTAGTACTTCCATATGGGCCAGAAATTTGACGCGTCCATCAAGAAAAGCACTTCTAACAGGCCACTGCAGACTTTTATTAAGAGCTACCTCCGCTCCATACTGAAGACCAGATAGCCGGGTAGAAAGAAGTGGCAACAAGAAACTCTGGGAACGAACCAACCAACAACCTACTGCTCAGAAAATATTCCTAAGAAAATGGAGATGGATCTGACACACGCTGCAGAGACCGTTGGGTGGCATCATCCACCAGGCCATAGATCGAGTGGGCCATGCCATATCAATGCTTTCCTGTTACTGAGATCACTGGCCAAACTCCTGTTAGCACCTAGGCGGGTATTATTATTCCCTTGGGCACATGATTTGCCTTTCCTGAATCCAGCTTGATCTGGTCAGTGGGACAGAGTCCTGCGTCCAGTGCATCTTCCATTCTCTCCAGCATGATGCAACTTAGTACTTTACTTAGTGTGGACAAGAGCATCATTACACGCCAGTTCTTATAGAGTGAGACGTTATGCGCCCCTATTTGGTAGTTTGAC